GGGTGGTTTTAAAGCACCTGTAAGTATCTGACACAGCACCTGGCACATGTGCGGCACTTGGGAACTATGTCACTTCCTTTCCTCACCTTGGGTGTTTGTCCAGGAACTGGTTGGTGGAGTAGAAAGGAGGACCGTGTGCTCTAATCTATGGGAAGTCAGAGGGAAGATGACTTTAGTAGGAATGTGGCTGCCAGCAGCCTGGAAAGAAAATAGACTAACTACCTGACACCTGTAAGAAAAAACAGGACTGGAGGGTTAGCAGGCCCAAGGGGTCAAGGACCCTGACAGCACAGCCCTCCATTTAAAGGAGTGGTTCTCATCCTGGCTACAAATGGGAGCCACTGGGGCAGCCTTGGAAAATGCCGAGGCCCAGGCCCCACTCCAGATGAATGAGCAGAAGCTCTGCAGATGGGGCCCGGCATCTCTGGATTGATTCACTGATGATTTAATGTGTGGCCAGGTTTGAGAGTGCCATCTGGAGGCAGCATGATGGACGCGATGGCCGCTGAAGCAGAGGTCATCACTTAAACTTCCAGCTCCAAAAAGAAGGGCTTTTCAAACTTTTCTTTAGGAAGTATCTAGAAAAGGAGAGGAGAGTGGAAGTGTACCTTCCAGTGATCACAGGGCGTGATCCAAAGCAGCCCACTCAAGTGGAAACGTCACTTTAATATTAAAAAATCATGCAAGTTTTACATTTTGTTCCATAAAACATTCATGTTTATTTCAAAAGAAATCCACCCAACCACCCCCTCCCCCCCAACACACACACACAAAAGCTCCTTGGGTAAAACTGGTGGTCCACATATAGCATGCTTATCTGGGGGCATTGTGAGCCCCTGCAATCCCAAACTGAACAGCTCAGGTTTAGGCCATTCACCTTGCCTGGCAAGCTCCTCAGTCACTGGAGGGTCAGCTGGGGAGCTGCCCTGTGCACCTCCAGGATGCACCCTGTCTGTGAGGTTACCCAGGGCAGGAACTGAGAGACTGAGCTCCCTCAGTCTGGTCCTGTAGCATGAGGAGGGGGCCCTGTTGCTTCTCCAGAAGTTTCCTGCTGGAGAAACTGCCAAATGGCTCCCAGCCAGGCTGCTTGGTAAGCTTTGTGAAGAAATAAATTCCTTTCTCGATCCCCATGAGGCTGTATTTCTAAGGGAATTTGCAAGAATAGAAGTTGTTTTGATCTTCAATCAAGATACAGAAAGATGCATTCCGTTCCCATACCTCCCACTTCTTAGATCCCAGCCACTTTCAGAAACACACCCTTGCGGGAGAATTTGCTTTCTCCGCCTTCCTGCCAGCAGCCAGCCTCACAGGAAGCACTGGATCCTCACCCCATGGAGGCATTTCTGTCTACATTTTCTTCAGACCTGCCCCTCTCTCCTGCCCCGTTGGCCCTGCTTCCTCCAGCTCCCCATTTCAACAAACAGCATCTTCTGGGAGTAAATGTGTTCTGGTTTGTGGGGATAACTCGGGTGCGGGGTGCAGGATTAGAAGGAGACGCCTTCTCTCTGGAGAACTAGAAGGAGGAAACAGAAGGGGATTAATATCGTTTAAGGCTTTAGGCTAGGTCCTCTATGTATATCATTTTAGTTAATCTTCACAAAACCCTGAAACACAGCTACAATTATCTCCATTTAACACCTAAGATAAACAAGGCTCAAAGAGGTGAACTACGATTTAAACACAAGCCGGCATCTGGCGTACGGTATGAATGAAAGCGTCATAGATGAGTGGGTGACGGATGGTGGAGTAAACTGGGAAGCAGAGTCAGCATTCTTTTGATTGCACCACCTGCCTGTGAGCCACCAGGACTCACTGTTGTCGCGACTCCTCAGGGAAATATACTGAAGGAGATCTACCCGGGCTTTTCACGCAGGCCAGCTCTTCACTGTCCTTGTTTCTCTTGCTGCTGAGCCTCCCGTCACCAACGGCAAACAAGAGCAGCACCGACAGCACTCAGCAGCGGCGCTGAGACCTGGGTTACAACCCACATGGGCTAAAGCAGCCTCCTGCGCCCACCTTGGGATGCTGGGAGAAAAAAACTCTCCCAAAAAGCCCTAACTCTGGAAGATCTGCTCCTGGGGTCTCCACCCCAGAGTCTGGGGTTGGGGGACGTCCCCTGACCGGCTGCAGCAGACCCACCTTCCATTGTCGCCTTCCTGCAGAGCCAGGCTTCTGTGAGAACCAAGCCTGAAGGGTATGGAGTGGAAGGGCGTGCTTTCCTTCTTTCTTTCTCTCTTTTCCTGTATTCTTGCCTAGTTTTCCTTGACTTTGGCCCTGGTTTGTGCTGACACTGCTGAAGGAGCTGTTCCCCTAACTCTGCACCCAGGCCCAGGACACTGTGGGCATTCAGTAAAGGCTGGACAAATCGCGTGGAGCGGACAGCTGCCAGACACACCATCTTACCTCAACAGGAGGGGAAAAGAGCCCCAGACATGCCAACGAAGGGAGGAGGCAAGGGAGCCATTTGTGGGGGGTCAGGAGGAGGCCCTGAGTTAGAAGGGTCTTCAGTTGGCTACTGTGGGCTTGTTGGAGGAGGGGCTAGTGTCACTAGTTAGCGGGATTGCACATGGACAAATGCTGTTGTTTGGAAGGGAATGAAGAACGGAAAGGTTAGTCGCTGGGACATGTTCTTACCTGGGGTGTTGTGCTTAGAGTCCTGCGTCTGCAGCCCAGGGCTGGGAGCCCCACAGAGGCTCAGAGCCGTGTGGGGTGTCATCAGGCAGCATTTTAAGTGAGTGGAAAAAGTGCTTGGGGTTCAGGCACAAAGCTGATGCTTTCCTTAGCGTCCTCTCCTCTGCAGGGTGAGGCCCTCTTCTAATTCAGTGTTGCAGAGGGATGGGGAGAGAGCACTGGCTGGCGGCAGGTGAAGGAAAGTCAGATTTTGTTGTTGTTTCTTTTTTTTGTTAAGCTGGATGCCTCTCCAACTATGGAGGAGCACCTTCTGACAAACCCTCTCCTCCCTTCTGCATTATTCACCCTCTTGGTGGCATCAACATTTGTCTCATGTGTGCATGTATGTGTGTGTGTAAGTGTATCTGTATGTGTGCGAGAGCACGTGCACAAGAACAATGGGGAGGGCAATGGGTGCAAGCAGTCTACCCCTCTCCCTTCCCACAAGGCCTCATTTAGACTGTTGTCTGTGCCTGATGGAGGGCCGACCGCGTGGCAGCCCTCAGGTTAGGCACTGTTCCTCGGGGCTGCCAGCAGCTTCTCCTGAAGTCTCAGTGCCTCCCAGGCCTGGGGTAAACGAGAGGAAACAGTAAGGAGCCATTACCTAAGGCCTCCAGCATCCAGGAATTGAGTGGGCTTGGCCACCAGGCGGGGGAACCTTGAGAGCTGCCAGCAGCCCCAGCAGGCAGCTCATGTGCTAACTGCAGTGCCAACCCCGCCAACCCCGCCAACCCCAGCAAAGGGGCCGCATGACCCCTTAACCACTTCACTTAAAGCTTTGCAGTTCAGAGAGGTCACCTGGCTCCACTCATCTGGGGTTACTAGGGCCATGGCCTCAGGGGCAGCAGGCAGCTCATCCAGAGGTTGGTGAGCCAGGGCCTGCTAGCCCCCTGTGTACTCTGGGGCTTAGAGCAGGGAGTGGATGGAGGAGAGCTGGGGACCCTCCTGCTTGGCAGTCTAAGAAAGTAGCCCTTTTCCTGGTGAGCTTGCAACCCTGACCTAACACACAGTGCCCTGTCCACCCAGCCCGACGGGGGTCTTCATGCAAAGTAATAAACCCGGGCCAATTGGCCGAGTAGGCTGGGTCCCAACCCCGAGTGACCAGAGTGTCACCGAGCTGCTGCCCCTCCTTCCCACGGAGCGCATCCCAGCCCTTGAGGCTCTGGCTCCGTCCCCCACCTCTCCTGGGACCCTCCCCAAGGACAGCAGTTCCCTTTGAGCGCTAGGAGATCAGCGGGGAAGGCGGTACCGGGAGAGTGGGGTGTGTTGTTGTTCCTCAGCTAAAAGCAAGTCCTGTCTGCGCATGGCCTGTCTCACGGCCTCCCACACCCCACTAGCCAGCCGCGTGCTATTGTCTCCAGAGCCTGTCTCGCCTTTCTGTGAGCCTGGATGGGCACTGCTGTGTACGAAGAGGCCCGATGCAAATAGAAGCTCATTGTGTTTGCTGAGAACTCCCTGCTCCCTGAGATGAGTAAATTAGGAGCTCTTGGCACCTTTGCTCACTGCAGAGGGATGGATGCTCCATGTGGGAACGGTGTACTTCCATGGGCACATAGCCTGCGGGCACGTCAGTGTATGCATGGGTAACGCATGCCGCTGTGATTGGCAACAACACTGACCCAGGAGGCCAAATTCAACCATATGTGGTGGAGCACGGCTGCAACGCGCTTCAGCAAAAAGAGAAGGCCAGCTGCCCTCTTCTCTTCTCATTCTAGAGGAGCAAGCTAGCCAGTGGCCGTGACACTAACGGCTCCACACTCTGCAAAGACATATATATGTATCGGTATACATACATATGTATGTATAGGTATATATTTTATTGAGATGAAATTCACATAATATAAAATTAGACATTTTAAAGTGTACAATTCGCTGTCATTTGGTGTATTCACAATGTGCAGCCACCACCATTCTCTAGTTTTTTGTCACTCAGAAGAACATCCCTTACCCAGTAATCAGTCACTCCCCGTTCTCCCCTCCCCCCATTCCCTGGTAACCGTTAACCTGCTTTCTCTCAATGGGTTTACCTATTCTGAATATTTCATATGAAAGAAATCATAAAATATGTGATTCTGCTGTCTTCTCTCACTCAGCGTGTCTTCGTGATTCATCAAATTGTAGCATGTATCAGGACTTCGTTCCTTTTGTGGCTGAGCAATATTCCTTTGTATGTGCATACCACAGTTTATTTGTCCATTTGTACGCTGATGGACTTTCGGATTGTGTCCACCTTTTGACTATTGTGAACAGTGCTGCTGTGAAAATGTACGTACACGTACTTGTTTGAACACCTGTTTTCATTTCTTTTGGGTGTATTCCTCGGAGTGGAATTGCTGGGTCATATGGCAATTCTATGTTTAACTTTTTTGAGGAAATGCAGTTTTTAATGGATCCTCACAGCACCCCTGTGAGGTATACAGGCCAGATATCAGAGAGGATGCATCTTAAGTATCCAGCTCATTCCCTAGCACATACCATATGCTCAATAAATCGAAAAGTGTTATCATTATCAGATGCAGAAACCAAGGCTGAGCGAGGGGCAGGGACTTGCTCGAGCTCACCCTAAGCAGTAGTCAGAGCTAAGTTGAGGGCTTCCAATTTCCAGTCCAGAAAGCTAGTCTTCTTGGAACTGGTTTCAGGAACTCAGACTTTTCCCGGCAAAACAACCCCAATAGTATGAATTTCCCCTCGGGCTCAGGGACCTGCCTCTCCCTTCCCCAGGGAGAAGAAGCAGGACAACTGAGCAGAGAGAACCCTTCCAGTCCGCTGTCCTGCCCTCTCCAGGCAGAGATGGCACTGATTGTAACTGACAGCTGGCTGAGCTGTCACTTCCCCTGAGCTCCTGTTGCCCCTCCAGAGCCCTTGTCGTCCTGCCTTGGGTCCCATCTGCAGAAGTAGCCACACTGAGCCTCCCCCGGGGCAGCCAGGGGCGTGTGGACCTGGAGGCTCGTCCACTGCAGAAGGATCCGTCTGCTCATCTCTTCTCATCTGGAAGCCAGACTGAGCATCTCATGTCTGCATCAGTGCTCACTCACCACAACCCCACAGGCACTTGACCGGGGCCCCTGCGTCAGAGGGCTGGACCTGCCGCCCAGAGGAATTAAGTGACTTTCCAGAAGTCAGGCAGGGAATGACAGCTCAAATGCCTGGCTGCAGCTTTCTGACTAGTCCCATTCTCTTCCTCTGCCCTATTCCCATGATACCAAGAGCAGGAGCACAGACTCCCAGAGAAGAGAGGAGTCACAAACTCGGGCAGAAAGGATCCAAGAAGCCCTGTGGTTAACCCCTGCCTCCAGGGGAGATGAGGCTAAAATCCTGTGGATCTGGCTGGCTCCTGACATTGTAGCAGAGACGTCTCTGAAGGAGGAAGGAGGGTAAGCTGACAGGCTGTTCTGAGAGATATGGTACTTCCTGTCTTGTTTCTTTAACCACCCATGATCCCAGTCCTGGGCCTGTCCTGCCCTACCCCCACCCCTGCTTCTTGTTAAAAGTCTGCGGTTTGCTTCAAAAAAGTGGCAGCCACTCCCAGCTTTTATGGCTCTGAGAACATCCAGACCAGTTGGGAGATTTTCTCTTCTCCTACACAGAAGGATGGGGAGGAGCCCTGGGGGCCTCACCAGGGAGTCCCTGAGTCTTGGGGAGGACAGTCCAGAGGATGGGCCTCTGCCTTGTTACTGCAGCCTCCCTTGATTCGTATTGACTCAAAGGTCAAGGTGGATGTGTCCTCTGGTGTAAAAGCACCAGCCTGGTAAGGCTGGCAGTTCCCTTGGGGTAGAGGGAAGGGAGAGTGATTGGTGGTTATGTGGGTGCTGCTTTCCTTGAGTTTTGTGTTTTGTGCATTTTTATGTATGTGTTATTATACTTCACAGTAAAAAAGTTAAAAGAAAAAGAACCCTGACTTAAGAGTCAGAGTATTTGGGTTCAGTCTTAGCTCTTCCATTTATTTGTCATGAGATCACAGGATAATCCGTTTAATCTCTCTGGTTCTCAGTTTCCACATCTATAAAATGGGGTCAACAAAACCTAAAACTCTCAGGGTGGTTGTGAGGGTTGAGTGAAAACTTGGATATTCTTGGTGCCCTGTAAGCTATAAAGGATGATTCACATGTAAAATATTATTTGATTTCAGGGAGATCCATATAAAGTTGGAGACGAGCAGAAGAGCAGAGGCTGCTGATGGGACTGGGGCCAGCAGCTGCCCTCCACTTTGAGGGGTGACGGTCGTGTTAGCTTCCCAGGCTGCCAGAACAAACTCCCACAGACTGCGTTGTTGAAAACAGCAGAACTGTACTTTCCCATAGTTCTAGAGGCTAGAAGTCTGTAATCAAGTTATCAGCGGGACACGCTCCCTAGGAAGGCTCCAGAGAAGGAGCCCTCCTGGTCTCTTCCTAGCTTCTTGTGGTCCCAGCAATCGTCAGTGCTCCTTGACTTGTAGCCACATTGCTCCTATTTCTGCCTCCATCTTTCCATGGCCTTCTTCTTTGTGTGTCTCCATATCCAAACCTCCCTCTTTGTTCTTTTATAAAGACACCAGTCACTGGATTCAGGGCCCACTCCAGTCCAATATGACCTCATCTTAACTTGATTACATCTGCAAAGACCCTGTTTCAGAATGAGGTCATATTCACAGGTATCAGGGGTTAGGCCTTCAGTGCATTCTTTTAGAAGACACAGTCAACTCACTACATTGGGATTCTGGGTGGAGAGACAGAATTTGTACTCAGGCCACACTTCTACCATTTTGTGGCCTTAGGCATTGGCTTCTCCAGTCTAAAGGAGAAAGTAAATAGGAAATTAGAATGTGTTAGGTGCCTGTGGTGTGAGGTGAGGGCTGTGAGGTCAACATGTCTTCCCTATTTTGCAGATAAGGAGACTGAGGCTGGGACAGGGCATGACAGTTACCCAGTCCCGCTGCCAGTAAGAATGGTTTCCTAGAACATGAGTGGTGATGGAGTGCACGTTGACCCCTTCCGGAGTTCAAATTCAACACAGTCAAAGCTTATGACTTCATAAAATACCAGAGGGTTGATTCCTGGTCCCCGAGTGAATCAAAGGATAGGAGATTAAAAAAATAAACAGTAGCTGAAAGCAGAAACCAGGACTTGCACTGCCTTGTGGAAATGATTAAGAGTGTTAGACTCCTGAGAGAGGATGCACAGCTATGCAGTTCCCTCTGTGCAGCAGCCAGGTCAGCTTTGGTCATGTGATGTGGCCACGAAGGACAGTACAGATGAAAATCTCTGCTCTGTCTTCATCTATAGAGGCCCACAGCGCCAGCCCCATAGTGCCCTGACCCCAGACTAGGCGACAACGTAGGTTCCCATCTTGGTTTTCATGTCGCTGTTGGATTTTCTGTGGATGGTGGGCCTGTCCATGTGTCCACCACAGACTGAGAGACCCCCAGAGGCCATCTGGTGGAAATTCAGCACAACCCACCATCCTGGCACCTTCTGAATGTAAGCACTGTGCTAGAGATCCAGACGAGGGATTGGTTTCCAGCTCCAAGGAATTGGCCCTATTTCCTATGGACATTCCCTCTTCCGAACCCACTGCCCAGCTCCTTCCCAAGGGTCCAGTTCCCCAGCAGGTGAGGATTAATATTCTTTTGCTGACCCTTTCCCAGGGCCACAGCCACAGCTGTCAACAGTTCTGGTCACAGCTCCAGGTGCAGGGGAAAGGAAAAAAGTGGTGGTGTTTGCTCATCTAATAACTTTGAATAGAACCTTTCAGATGGACTTTGGGCAGGCTGGCCGCTGTCTAGCAGCCACAGAAACTGTTGCCAGGCATAGCAATGCCTTGGAGAAGTTGTTCCCTCCAGCAGGCCAGTCCTCTGCAGAAGGCTAAAGATGTCCTAGGGCTCACCCCCCACCACTTGGGCTGCACTGGATGTGCCCAAAGGAGCCACAGCTGGAATTAGAATTCCGGAGAGCCCTTGGATCAATGGCTCCCAAACTCGAATCTATCTCAGAATCACCTGGGGAAGTGGTTCTCAGACTTGCATGTACATCCGAAACACCTGAAGGATTGTTAAAACACAGATTGCTGGGCCCCCCTCCAGAGTCTCTAATTCAGTGGTCTGGGGTGGAGAAGGAGGATTTACATGTATACGTTCCCAGGTGCTGACGATGGCACTGGTCTGCAGACCACAATTTAAGGACACTGGTGTAGGCCAAAGTGTCGGGCCCCAGTCCAGGGGATTCTTAGTGAGAATAGGGTGGAACCAAGGAATCTGTATTTTTAATAAGCTTGCAGGTGATTCTGAAGCACAAGGTTTAGGAAACCAATGTCTTAGATCTACTTTGTTAAGTCGAGGCCCTAGGACTCCCAAAGATACCTCAGGAGATGCTGAGGAGGTGGACTTTGAGCCCAGTCAAGGCAAGCACAGTATCATACATAGAGACATCTCTGTGCTTGGCAACAAGCAGCATGAAAGAAGTGTGAAATGAGTTTATTGCTGAATGAAAGCTGGCACTTCCCCTGAGGTGAATGGGGATTTCTCACTTTGCTTTTTCAGTCGGGGGGACATTGGATACAGCTGGGGGTCCTGGTTGCAGTCTGGGACTTTGATCAGCCTGATTAGAGGATGTCTCCCCACTTTGCATCTTATTTCTCCCCCAAATTTACCTCTTCTTAAAATGGGTGATGTCAATACCCCTCTGAGATTAGGAGGGAAAAAGAGTTGAACTCATAAGCAGAATTAGGAGCTTTGGGCTTCTTGTCCTATTTTGGGTTCAGCCTGGTGAACTGCAGTGGGACAAGAGAGACAGTGAAGAGCTGGGGGCTGCCCCCCAGGGTGTCAGGAACCTACTGGAGGATCCAGCTGCCAGGTCTGGGAGGGGTCCAGACTGGCTGGCAGAATATAGTGCACGGAAGGGGGTACAGCAGGTGACAGTCCAGGAACCTTTAGAGTTGGGTGTCCCAAAGCAAAACGGCCAGGTTGTCCCTGCAGGTGGGGCACAGTACAGAGACATGGGGTACACAGATGGGTGTGTACGGAAATTGTGGCAACCCAGTCCATCGAGGGGGCTTAGCCACTGTTAGGACTCTGGGTCCTGGAGAAGAAATGGAAAAAGCAAGGAGGGCAGACAGGTTTCAGCTCCAATGCTAGGTATAATGGATTGGTAGTGGCTGTCTGGAGCTCTGGGTCAGGAGGATTTTAAGTGTGGCTTCAGCAGAAAACGTGGGAAAGAATGATGTGACTGACTACCAATGAGTGCTGTGGGTGCTTTGTGGGGATTTTCTTCTGCACCTTTAATCCCTCCTGTCCCGGTCCAGGACTTGGACAAGGACTGTGCTGTGGCCCCTGCTGGAGTAGGGATGAGGCAAAGCCACCTACAGGGACAGCCTGGACTGACTCATTCTGGAAAGAAGACAGATGGGCTCCTTGGGGCTCCCAAGTCCTGTTGGCAGGGCTGACCTCTCAGCCTAACCTCATCCATCCAGGCTCCTCTGAGGGACTGGCCAGGCCTGGAGAAGTCATTTGGGGAGTGTTTAAGATCAGAAGAAAAAGAAAATAGCCAGGATCTGGGAGATTCATTAACTTTTCTGTGCTGTGTCCTGACACCTGGTTTTCCGTTGGGGAAATTCATGGATGACTCTGCCTCCTTCTTGACCTCTGTGGTCCTGGCTGGGCCTCCTGACTTTGTTACTTCAGCTCATCCTTCAGAAGACAACTGTGCACCTCTTCAGGTAAAAATTAACACCCAAGACCTCCCACCACCCTACTCTCCAGCCTCCTGTCCCTTTGTAACCCCAGTTTCTGCTATAAGCCTGTGCACATTCCTATCTGAGGACAGAAGGGGTCGTGATGGGCCCACAATTAAGTCCCTGAAGCTGCAGAGTGGAGCCAATTAGTATGTAAGGCCCAAACAAATGTTGTGCAGCAGCCCGGGGAGACATCTGGTCTCAGGTTCCTGGGCTCTGAGCAGAGCTGGCCGGGGAGAGGCAGTGTTGAGAAAGCAGTCCCTCCCATCCTCCCACCCCCTCACACAGCAAGATTAGAGACAGCAGCCTCAGACTGGCACCCAGACATGAAAATCACCCCTAGGAGCATTGCCTCTTCCCAGGCTGGCTCTCTGAGAAGCCCCTCATTTCTTCACCAGGGGCCCAGGGCCTCTGTCAATTTTCCTCCCCTCACTATGGCACCGCCTACCCTACCCCTGGGAAGTGGCCTTTCCAGCTCCCCCTCCCTGGCTCCCACCACTCTCCAAACGAAGGTTTTCTATTTAAAGGCGTCTCCATGTGGAGACAGATAGGAGGGAACAGAATGCTAGGGAATATCCCCAGAGGTTTCCTGAACCCTTTCTCCCAGGAAGAAAAGAGGCAGCTGGGCAGTGGCTGACCCACAGTGACACAGGAGGCCAGTGATACCCCCCACTCCAACTTTTCTTGGGGGCACATCTGCTCCTCTTAACAGGATTGCACAACATCCACATGTCCTCAGAGATCCACAAGGCCTAGTGGTGTCTGGCAATAGTAGGTGCTTGATAAATGTTTCTTCTCTCACTCATTTTCTTCAGCAACATTTATTGAGTGTCTTCATGTGTCAAGCTCGGGAACTACAATGATAGACATGATTGTGGAGGCCCTGCTTTCAAGGAACATGTGACTCGAGAAAGATGTGAACACATGTAATTGCAAAAGAGGGTCCAATAGTCACTGTAGGCCATGTTAGGGTGGAGAGTTACCTGAGGCTTCCCAGTGTAGGGGAGGAAGATAAGTCCTCTACCCTGTGGGTCCTTCTGGCTGGGCTACAAATTAAAGTCACATGAGCCAGAATGACAGGAGAAAATCAAACAAAGCTTTATAACATGTATACATGGGAGAAACCCAGGAAAGCTGAGTAACTGACCAAAATGGTGGATGCTCTCACCTTAAACGCCATCCTCAGCTAAAGACAGAGGAGGATGTTGGGGTGGGGAGAGGCAGTTATGGGAGATTACCAGAAAAGCACAGTAAACAAGAGTAAGGTTATTATGCAGACTTGAGTCCTTGCCTTCTGCATTGATAAGAGATTCTAGAGATAAGGTCATCCCCTCCTCCTGGTACAGAGAGGGAGACACCTTCACAGATGGAGATGTCCCTTACAAATGTATGTCTCTTACAAAGGGTAGCTTCTACTTTTCAGAGCTTCTCCCATGTCTGCAGTTTCTTAAAAGTAACCAGCCCAAAATAATCCTTATGCCAAAGAGACACATTTTGGGGTGGCCTTCTAGTCCCCAACACCAGGGAGCCTTGAAGGATCAGGAGGATGTTATCAGGTGTCTACGCAGAGAAAAGACATGGCAGACAAAGGAAGCGGACATTGCCATTCCTCAGGAGCATGGGTGAGCCAGCAATAAGTGATGACCTGAGTGGCCAGACTAAAATATAAATGGGGGAGGCCTGCCTTTCTCATCCCCTCCTCTCTGACCCCTTCATCATTCTTCTCTTGCGAGTGTGGTAGGCACTGGGGACAGACAGGTGGGAAAGATAGAGCTCAGCGGTCTTCCATCTTCTTCCTCTCAGCTCTTCTCTAGACTCCTTTTCTCTTTTCAACCCCACACCTACTAACAAGGGAGAAAGGGCCTGTTAGGGTGAGGCAATTCTATAGCACAATGGAGCTGATAAATGAATGACAAGCAATAGGATACTGGAGTATTTAAGGAAGCCATTTGGTGTAAAACTAATTTGGCCTGAACTTCTTTTTCCAAAAGGGCCTGATGTGGCCGTTGAGCATGCATTGTACATCTGCTTTAAGTATGCAGTATGTCCCAAAGACAAGAACAAAGCCCTTAAAGATAAGGATGTAACTCCCCCCTCATTTGCATTTCCTTAAGGATAGGCATCTAGACTAGGCATCCCTAGACTAGGAATTCACTGTTGGCTTGCTGCACTCACCTTGTGACCACTCACATCAAGACCACCAAGCTGCGGTGTTCACAGAGTTATGGAAATGCTGTATTGGCAAAGCCATCTCATGACTATTGTAAAAGTGACATTCCAATCATGTGTGATACATGCTCTTCGACAGTATATAATCACTCTGCCCACTCCCCCTTCTTTGGAATGCTCCCTTCCTTTGTGAAAGGACTCTCCTGGGCTATATGGTCCTCATATTTGGCTCTTAATAAACTCACCCTAATTTTGATTTACAGATTGGTTATGGATTATTTGCATCAACAGAGCAGAGACTTTGGAGTAAGACTTTCTGAGATCAAATTTAAGCTTTGTACTTACTAGCTGTGTGATCTTAGGAAAATCCTATCTGTACCTCAGTTTCCTAATCTGTAAAATAGAGATAATAGTAGTGCCTACCTCATAAGGTGACTGTGGGAAGGAAATAAAAGATTCAGAACACTTAGAAATAGCACTGGGAAGTGGCTAGGAAGTGCTGCTATCATTACTGGCCCCCCTCTCCTCCTCTCATTCTAGAATTCTGAGTTATGACATCTCAGAGTCTCTGGAGCATCTCTCATCTCAGACTCCGTAGAACCAACTCCCTGAGTCAATAGTTCTCAGATGTTTCTGTGCATCTGTATCACCTGCAGACCTGCTGGCCCAGCCAAGGGGACTCTACTCAGAGATTCTAATTCAGTGCTTCTGGTTTGGGGCCCACAAACTTATAATTTTAATAGCCTTTCCAGGTGTTTCTGATGAACATCAAGGACATGAACTTTGTGGAAGCCAGTGGTTTCCCTGCTCAGGCTTAGGGACTGGACATTATTACTCCTGCCGGATTAACTGGTCTAGATTAACTGAGACTTCATTACCTTAGAGAAGTGGGGGGAGGGATGGGGAGACCTGCATGTGTTTGCATTTTGTTAGCCATCAGAAAGGGACGTGGACAATTTGGTGTGATAGAAAAAGGGTCAGTGCAAATGATGTAGATTTCCATCACGTGTGACTTGAACACCACGACCTCAGCTTGCAGTCCTCTAGCCATGGTGGAACCGGGGAGGGGCTGAGTGTCAGAAGAGACCAGAGAAGCAGAGGCCTCTGAGCCAGATTTCTTTACCACCTTGATAAGACCTGCACCGCCTTCTGGCTCAGGACTTCTGGCCGCCCTCCTTGCCCGTATTCTCCAGCACAGCTCCATGGTTCTCCCTGCTCAACCCAGCAGGCTGCTTCCTAAAACACAGCTGTATCATGCCACCCACCCCACTGCTCAGTGTTACTTGGGTCACAGGACTGCCTTTTTTTTTTTTAAGACTTTATTTTTTTCCTTTTTTTCTCCAAAGCCCCCCAGTACATAGTTGTATATTCTTCGTTGTGGGTCCTTCTAGTTGTGGCACATGCCTCAGCGTGGTTTGATGAGCAGTGCCATGTCCACGCCCAGGATTCGAACCAACGAAACACTGGGCCGCCTGCAGTGGAGCGCGCGAACTTAACCACTCGGCTACGGGGCCAGCCCCAGGACTGCCTTTTAAGGCCTTTCATAATCTACTCCTCCTCCCTGATTTAATATAAGACAGTTCTGCTCTTCAAATCAGCTGAGAGTAGCTAGAAACATACAAGCTGAGCACAGAGGGGTTAAAATGAAATGGGAAGTGAGAGAAATGTCCTAGGGGTGGCTGGAAGGACATGATATCAAGGTGATGGGCCTCTGGGGAGATGGCACCAGCCATTGAGCCACTCGTGAAATAAACACAAAATGATGCTGTGGAACAGAACAGCCAGTAAATGGTACCAGTGTCACCACATTCCTCTGTACCAGTCAATCCTGGCACTCGAGACCCAGTGAGGCCTCAGAATGCTTCTCAAGACATTGCCAAGGGGACCAGTCCAATGGACTTGGATTAATGTAGAGATGACATCTAGTGACCATCCCCTTCTAGAAGAACGAGTGAAGCAGTTGAGCTTCTCCCAGCAGTAGACCCAGCCTTACCTAGCTCTGGGGAAGATGCTACAGGCAAAATAGAACCATGAGAGGTGCAGACGTGGGCAGACTGGTTGCTCTTCTTCCTGGGCACACAGCTACCCTACATATTCCAGCCTCCCTTGTGAAATCCCTGGGGCCATGTGAGTGGGTTCCAGCCAAAGGAATGAGGAGAAGCTACGTGCCAGTGTGGGCCTGGCCATGAAGGCTTGAGCACAGTCCTCTGTGATCCTACCCTTCCATCTGTGGAGCCAGAGGCTGAAGATGGTGGAGCCATAGGATGGAAGGAAACTAAATACCAGCCACTGCTTGGAGGAGGGCTGCTTGCCAGTCAAGAAGACCCATTATGGACTTTACGTGAGGAAGAAATAAATTTATATCATATTTTAGCCATATGTATTTTTAGGTTTATTTGTTATAGTAGTCGATATTGTCTTAACTAATATAAGGAATGAGGGTAGAACGTCCAAGCCTGAGAGACCTTGACTAAGAATGAAAGAAGGACAATGCAGCAAGGTCTAGGTTACAGGAGGAAAGTCCTTTCTTGTCCAGGGCTCCAGGAAGAAGAAAAAGAAGAGGACCCAGGAGTGCTGGGGGAGCAGAGTTAGACATAGGCTAGCCCGGAGCAAGGGGGTGGAAGGGAGGGAGAGAAGCAGCGCGTGGAGCGGCTGAGACACAGACCCTGAGAGCGCACAGCAGCCCTTCCCCTCGCTTCTCAGGGCTCCTGACCTGCTCCCTCCTTTTTCCTCTTTGCAGCCTCTCCACCCCACCCTCTTTTTTGGCTCCTGCATTCCTCCCATTTTCTGCCCAGAGGAGAACCATGCCTCTTTTG